ATGTTTATAGGAACCACCAGTGGAAGTATCTTGTTCTTTCCAAATTTTCCAATATATTTCTATTCGGCAAGCTTAAAAGTTAGTTGCATTTACTTTTAAGTGAATAAGTAATTCTTTCATGCAACGAAAATAGAATAGCTGGCTGGAGTGGCAGGCATTATTCAGGTTTATAACTTCGTCATCAAGACCTTTTCTGCTCACTCGTACGGGTCCGCACCCCCACAAAGGTTGAGGGAGTTGACTAAACGTCTCACCCTTAATCACATGATTGAATCTCGGACTCCGATTTGTTATGCTTTTTGGTTAACTCTAATCCCTACTTTGAAAAATTACAATAAGCAGAAAATGAGGTCATACACAAATTCATAGCAGTTCACCCTTGACAAAAGTTCTGATCCAGTCATAGAGAAGGCTTATTGTGTTTAAGTTTGAAACCCATTTTTATTGAAAATGTATTTTGTAATAGTGATTTTTTGAAGAATGTGTGATTAAAAATTAGGGAAAAATTCTACATCTACGTGTATTATTTTACTGGGAGAATGAGTGGTTAATAATGAGTTTGAAGAAAAATAATTTTTTTAAAAAACGGGGATCAAACAAGGGCTAAGCCCTTGATTTAAAACTGGATCTACTATTTTCCTCCAATCCAAGGATGTCTGTGATTTGAAATAAGTATAAGAAACTACCATATGAATCAGGGTAAGCATCTTACAACCACAACTTTGACATATAGCCCTTGTTTGGCAAAAATTAAAATCAGTTTTCATTATATCTTGATAAAAGCTGGTGAAATGTATGGTTAAAAAGTTGTGGATTCCATAAAATATGTGATTAAAATTAATTGTTGACTTTTATTTAGATTAAAATCTGGATTTTAATTTATACCAAATATGGGCTAAATCAAATTCAACAATTAATTTTAACCACACTTTTCATGGGATCCACAATTTTTAACCATACAATTCATCAATTTTAATGAAAGTTTACTAAAAATCTAATTTTAATCCCAACAAAACAGAGGAATAATAAGTAAACTTGATAATGTTTTCAAGTACTTGTAAGTTGGCTCTTCTACATAATGTGCACATATAATGAGCGGATTAAGTAAATAATGTATTAATCCTATGAAATATGGATTAAAACTATATTTGACTAACTTAAATAATAATTAAAGCTTTGCAAAACATATGTGCAATTCAGTAAACATCTTTTACCTGAATCATAATTCATGTTTAGGTGAAACCAGAAATAAACCGAACAAAGCAGTTAAATAATGTTTCATGACCGGCCAAAATTTTATTCATAGCAAAGCTTCATATGTTATTTACGTAGTTGTCTAATTTTTGGCATTTCAGGGCTTTGAAAAAAGCTCTGTCAAGAACTGCATTGGACTAAACAGACCCTTAGAAACTAGGTGTTATTAAAGAAGCTACAGACCTGGAAGGAACAACCTCTTCACCACCTAATTGATGTATGAGAAACTAGGAAAAAAGTTTATGGTTTCCTGTCTAAAAATGAACCATGCCACAATGCCAGAATAATTGACATCATATTACATGATATTCTATCATTAGACTGTTTAAAACGCGGCTGCCTTTTCCATCAAATCACCTCCCTCCACCTAGAATTCTGGCACTACTTCTAGCATTATTCTACTTGCGAAGTGGTTTAACCCATAAAGGATCAAAAAGAGCATCCTTTTAGCACAGAGAGCACTGAAATTGTACTAAAATAATTGCTGTATCACATATGATCTCATTTAGCAAAAATGCTTCTCTTTTCCAATCATGATCGGGCCTACAGCTACAGATGACTGGACGAATATAAACCCAAAACTTGCAAACATTGTTATCTAAGTTTTCCATTTTCTATCCTATAAACCATCTTGAAGTGACGAGTAAATTTCTGCATAGTAGCTAAACGAAAAATAATTACAATGCTGCTACAAATTTTGGGACTAAAAATAGAAAATGAAGTCCAATTTGTGATGGATAATCATGTTATACAGAAGAATATGATAAAGATGACTAGGAGGAGGAAAAAGAAGATGCAACCAATGTCATAGTTTCAGATTTACACTTTTATCCAGTAATTTTGGATCTAGAAGGTTTTGATTCTTGGGACTATCACTTGAAAACCTTCACGGATTGCATTTCCATCTTTGAGTTTAAATCCTATTGGCCCATCAACTTTGATATCTTATAGAGCCCTAATATGGAATTCTTTCACAAATTAGGCATTTATAAAAAAATAATTAAGTTAATCTTATTACGAATATTTCAGTTTCTAAGTTCACGAATTTTTAAAACTGGTGTAAAATTATATGAAATTTAAATTCAATTTCCTTTAATTTCTATTAATCTTACTGTCTTCTAAGTGATATTGAGGGAAAGATCGTCTGTCATGTTTAGAATTTCTTCTCCATTTCACTTTTCTGGATCCCACGTATTATCATTTTTTTCCGTCCTACATTAATCCTCCTAATTTTAGTTTAAACTTAGCCCATATTTGGCGGGATATCAAGACTTTAATCTAAATTAGAGTCAACAATTAAACATATGTTTGGCTCCCATTTTTTCAAAAACTCACTTTTAACTACACATTCTTTCATAAAATAATTTTACACGTAAATCGAAAACATTTCCTTCTTTTTTAACCACATATTCTCAAAAAAATCACTATTCATTTTTTTATTTTTTTTTTACTAAAATGGGGGTCAAACAATGGCAAATTACATCCACTTATTTCATGGAATTCACAATATTTTAACCACACAATTCATCAATTTATATCAAAATCTATTAAAAAATTGATTTTAATCTCCACCAAACAATGTCTTATATTCATGTCACAATTTTCACAGCTTGGTCAATGAAGAAGATATAGAGGTTGCATTTGGAGCCTGTTTGACAACCATTATTGCAGGAAAAAAGAGTTTTGAACAGTGATTTTTAGGAGAATATGAGATTAAAAAGTAGGAAAGAATTTTTGGTATATATATAAAATATTTTATTGTGTGAACATATAATTAAAAATGATCATATTGTAAATGATAAAATAAATTAATGGTTGTCAAACAAATGCTTACTGTCTTTCTAATCACATAAAAATCGGTCATATTTGAAATGCTATCGAGGATGAGCCACGTGCCACATATTCGTCACAATTTTAGAAGAAAAACGAAATCACAAAAACAAACAAGTCGCCTCACATTGAGGGATAAACAACAACAGTCACAAATATATAACAAATAGAGACGTGGACACCTATATTAGATGTGACGAAAATAAAAATGAATGTTAGAAAGTCTAGCATATCATTTCACTACTTACATGCACGGTTCCATTAGAGATCACAGTACACACCAAATCATTATCCATACTTTTTTATATTGATCACAACAAAAGGAAAGAAATAAAGAATGTCAATCCAACCACAATTCCACTCTGTTCGTCAGTTCGTGTACATAATTGATGACATAGATGAGTGAAGAGATAATAGCTACTTCACTAAAATCGCTAAAATTTAAGATATATGTATAAATTTTTTTTTTTTTTTGAAGAAACATTTTAATTTTTAACGTCATCTTGATTATAACAGAGAATGTCCATAAAAAATAAGGGGATGTTCTCTTTGAATTTCAGTTTTTTGTTTTGAGTTTTGAATTCATTTTGGATTTTGTGTTTTGAGTGTCCATTTTGAAATTGTTGAAAAATTGTTTTGAAAACACTTAAAACCTGTTTTGAAAAACTTAATTATAATTGAAAACACTCATCATTTTGAGTTTTCCTTGTAAATTTTTAATTTGTTTTCAAAAACGTGTTTTCGAAAATAGGAAAAAGAACGCGTTTTCACTATTTTAGAAAATCGACAACAGGAAACGGTTTAAAAATGGTAAAGAGAACACACATTGTAAAAGACTCTTAGAGGTCGTTCTCTTCGTATTTCAGTTTTGTACTTTGAGTTTTGAATTCGTTTTGTGTTTTGTGTATCTATTTTGAAATTTCTGAAAATGCGTTCTTTTTGTCATTCTGAAAAACCATTTTCGAAAAATATAAAAATGGAAAACGCTTTTAGTTTGAAATTTTAAGAATTTTTTAAAATAATATTTTATTCAAGAAAATTTGATTTTTCAATAAATAATAATGATTTAAGGTTAATATAATATTAAATAACATATACATTTTGAAATTGGTGAAACGTCAATTTTTTTTTTCAAGATGTTAAAAACACAACTTAAATTACATTTGATGAAACAGTTCAATCGATACGGTTAGAAATTTACGTGTCATGACAAAATAAGTAGATACTGAACTACATACAAAATAAATCCACGGAGTACAACATAAATAAAATTATCACAAAATGTACAAGTACTTTGTGACTGAATTTAAACCACAAGCAAATAAGAGTCAGTCAAGGCAAATCTTGCAGGCATACAACTGGATTTCATACCCCATTTTGCAGACTGCCGTCGTTATGAGTAAAACTAGTGATATATATTGGAAATAAATATAAGTGACCAATATTGTACTACTTTGTACAATATTAAATCCACCCAGGAAGTTAATTTTCCACTGGTAAGGAAATATAAAATGAGTTCAGCCACAATGTTCAAGCACAGGTCAAGAATATGAGAAAATGACATTTGTGTGCACTTCATTTGCAAATTATGAACCTAGCAGCAATCTTTCTTTGGCTAATTTTCCTGGAATCAACATTGTAGTAACATTATCATTATCAAAACTTCAGCAGATTACCCAAGCATTCAATTACCTCCAGACACCAGATACACAATGTAGTAACATTATCATGTGCACAAAAAAATTCCAATGAGCTTCTGTCTATAAGAAACAAAATGACCAATCTCATTCTCACGAAGGATCTTGAAAGCAAGATATCTAACACATAATTAATGAAATTGGTATAATATGCCCAAACTGCGGTACAATATAGAAAAAAATGATACTAATTAGCATCTAATAATGAAAGACTTGCTATTAAAGAACCGAATATCGGCCAGGTTGCGCTGAACTAGGAAGTGATGAAGCTTGCATTGTTATTTCCTCCAAGGCACGTTTAAGTTCAGCTTTTGCCCTCTTGACAGATTGCTCAGTAGGGCCCTCAATGAACAAGTACAGCTTTCGTTCCCCTGGTCCTGGAACCCTGCCAGGTGCAAAATACTGCCCTCTAGTTGTAATGGCAGCCCCAGTCCATTCAGAGATTGGACCTAAAGTTTCCTTGTGGGTCACCTTCCAACGAGCATTTTGTGGAAAATCATTTATCTCCAATTCTGCTTCATAATGTTCAGGCATGGCGTCAGCCTGAATCTTTGCTAAGTTATGCTGCAAATTCATGGCTGCAGCAAGTGCCGCTGCCCTAGCAGCCGCATCGCCACTTCCAACTGGCAGTCCAGTCCCTGGGACAGCTGCAGCTATTCCTGGCATTGTTAAACCAAGGACACCAGGCAAGGAAACAGGTAATGCACCATTGGGAATAAGCTGAGCAGCTGAGATTGGTGTCGATGCTGCACTCACTTTGGAGGCAGCAGCTAAAGCAGCAGCCTGAGCAAGGACAGCTTGGTGAGTAATTTCACCACCTGCCTTTCTGATTCCTTCATCTTCATCTTCTGAATCAGATTTATCCTCCTCAAATCCATATTCCTTTGCCTGTGCTTTCTTTGCAGCTCTCCTAACTTCATCCTCCTCTTCATTGAATTTAAACCCACTCCCACCATAACCAGTCCCATGTGCTTGCTCAAGCCCCTGGTTCACCTTCGCCATAAAGCCATCAGCCAGAGCTTTCAGATCAGAGGGAACAACTTGCTCGGATAATTCAAGGGCTTTCAAAAGATCTGGCGCATATCTTGCATCTTCTTCAGATACAAATGTAATAGCACAGCCTTTCCGACCAGCTCGACCAGTCCGACCAACACGATGAACATAGTCCTCATAATGATTCGGGACATCAAAGTTAATAACTAACTCGAGCTCCTTTACATCTAAACCTCTTGCAGCAACACTTGTTGCAATTAGTAAATTGCACACATTAGCCTTGAAATCAGATATAGTGGATTCACGGTCTGTCTGATCCTTTGCCCCATGAAGTGAGAGGCACGGATATCCGTGCTTAAGTAAATCCTTAAATAAAGCATCGCATTTCTCCTGTGAGTGGACAAATATCAAAATTTTTCCCTTCTCGTACCATTCTCCCAGTAATTCTAAGAGCCTGAGGAACCTATCACTTTCTGGTCTTAACTCAACTAATTGGGTTATGTCCTTGTTAACGACACTCCTACCACCTACCTGCATCTCAACAGGTTTGTCCAACACTTTGCGAGCCAGAATTTCAACTTGACGAGGGAAAGTGGCAGAGAAGAGTACAGTTTGGCGATCTGGCCGTGTATTTTGGACAATTCTTGTGATCTGAGGTTCAAAACCCATATCAAACATTCGATCAGCTTCGTCCATGACCAAGTAAGTGACCCGACGCAGATTTGTAATCTTCCCAGCACTGGTACAAAGTATATCAATCATTCTACCAGGTGTACAAACAACAATCTCGGTTCCACGTTTCAAGTCACTAATCTGCTGGGCAACACCAGAACCTCCATATACAGGCACACAGCTGAGACCCATCACCTTCGTAAATTTCTTTATGTCACTGTGGATTTGCTGGACAAGCTCTCTTGTAGGAGCCATTATAAGCGCAATAGGACCGTCACCAGGCATCAACGGGGGCTGGTCCTTTATATGTCTCAACATTGGCAACACAAACGCTAGAGTTTTGCCAGAGCCAGTCTTCGCAATACCAATGCAGTCTCGACCGCTCATAATTACAGGCAGCGCCTGCGCTTGAATAGGCATAGGTCTTTCATAATTTAGTTTCTTTATTGTCTCCAATATTTTGTTCGATAATCCAGTCTGATGCCAGGTCTTGACAGGCTTTGGAACATCCTTTCCATGTATCTTAAGTTCCAGTTGCTTCCTATAGGCAGACACCTCTTCAGAAGCCATTCTTGAGATTTCCTTAACTTCAATATAGAAATTCTTTCGAAAGGAAGGATATTCGATTTTAGAATGATCAACAATTGATAGCTTCTCAACTTTGGTTTTCTTCACCCTTTTCATGAACTCTTCATCATCTTCATTCTCTAAAGGATCTTCATCGTTCTCAACATCCCCATAATCTGAATCAGAATTTTCCCCAGGGATGATTCTTCCCATCAATTTACTAGCACCCTTCTTTTTAGGATATTCCCCATTTGTCTCACCATATTTATCCACCATTTGACTTGTATCAGTGGAACCAGAAGGGGCAAGGTCATTCAGCTTATTAACTTCAGGCAATACCATAGAATTCATGAAGGCGTCTAATGGATCAATTTCATCATCCACAACAGCATCGCTACCTCCATTCTGAGAAGCAGATACAACCTCATTCTTGAAGTCAAGGGACAAGCCATTCCCATTCCCATTCCCATCGTCATCCATCAGCTTGGCAGATCCAGACTCATCAATATCCATGTCAGTTTTCACATCAACGCCAGCTTCTTCATCATCGGATTCGCCTTCCAGGGTCCATGTCTTACCAGACATTGGTTCATCCACATTTGTGGTAATTCCAAGCTTTTCCCTCTCAGATTCCTCCTTCTTTCTTCGTAGCTCCTGCCATTCCTGTACTCTCCTCCTCCTCTTCTCCATCTCGTCATCCAATCTCTCTTGTTCTTTGGCCAAGTCTTCTTCCCAAGTTTTCTCTTTCCTGTCTGTTGAGTCTTCATCTCCCCGTTTTGGAGGGCTACTGCCTTCACGTTCATCCCTGCGCCTGTTGGACTTGTTGCTTCGTTGACGGTCCCTGTTCTTATTATCATCCTCTTTCCTCCGCCTTTTTCTCTCATGGTCCATAACATCATCATCATCGCCACTACTGTGTGCCCGATCCATTTCACGGTGTCTCCCCCTATCTCGTATTTTCTCCTTCTCCCTCTCCCTCTCTTCCCTGTCTCTCTCCCTCCTTTCTCTCTCTCTTTCTCGATCCTTCTCCTTCCTCTCCCTCTCTCTGTCTCTTTCCCTCTCCCTTTCCTTCTCCCTCTCTCTTTCCTCCCGCTCTCTCTCTCGTTCCCTCCGCCTTTCCTTCTCCCTTTCTCTCTCTCTATCTTCCCTATCCCTCTCTCTGTCTTTGGCCTTGTCTCTGTCCTTTTTCCTTTCCTTCTCTTTGTGCCTCTCCTTGTGCCTTTCTTTTTCTCTATACTTATCATCAACACTCTTCTCCCTCTCCTTCTCCTTGTGCTTTTCTTTTTCTCTATACTTATCATCAACACTCCTCTCCCTCTCCTTCTCCTTGTGCCTTTCTTTTTCTCTATACTTATCATCAACACTCTTCTCCCTCTCCTTCTCCTTGTGCCTTTCTTTTTCTCTATACTTATCATCAACACTCTTCTCCCTCTCCTTCTCCTTCTCCCTCTCCCTGTCACCATTTCTCTCTTTTCCACGATCTTTATCATCCCTGTCTCGTTGAGACCTCCTCGATTCTTCTTTTTCAGAACCCTCTCTCTTAGATTTATGCTTTGACTCGTCCATAAACACACCCTGATTCAATTAAATAGAAACCCTTCAATAATAGGCGTCCTAATTACCGAAACAATGTCCAAGAACCCTAATCTTTCTGCAACTGTCAGACGCGATAAATCAAGTATCGAATCAACTCAGATATATAATGAACAATTAAAGGAAACCCTGATATTCAATTTATCGACGTTCCGAAAACAGAGATTGTAATACCCGAATCTTTCTGCAAAACTAGAAAATCGACTAACATAGAGGGGGATAGAAAAGGTATACCGTAGATTTAGTGAGAAGCTTCTTCTTACTGCTTCGTGTGGCGTACAGAACTGAATTCCCTGGAAAAGAGAAATAAGCGTTCTTCTCAGTGCTTCTACGTTTGGAAAGTGAAATAAGTGTTCTCGTGGAGAGGAGGGGAATTTTCACATGAATTAAGACCAATTTGACAACCACGTAGAGTTCTCGAATAGTTATTTTTTGAAGAATTTGTGATTATAAAGTTTATTAAAAAAATTGGACTGCGTACAAAATATTTTATTATTTAAATGTATGGTTGACAATGAATATATGAAAAAAAGAAATTGAAATAATGATAGTCAGAATACTGAAATTTCAAATATTTATCATCTCCGACGCAACTAACGGCTCTTTCGGTCTTCATTTTCTCAAATACTGAAATTTCAAATATTTATCATCTGTTTAACAAAAAGATTTCATGAATATCTATTACTTTGAATCACTAAGTATATTTATTGTCGTTTTCGTTAAATTAGTTTACCTTTCAAATTATTAAACCTTATTTTAACATATCTATAAATATTTTTACAATTTGTTGAACAACTCTATAATGGAAAAAAAATTCATCTAAATAGTATAACTATCCATTACAGATGGCACAGACCATATGTAAGGAACGTCTAGTCATCTTTCCTTTCTTTTCTTTTATTCATCTTGATAATCTAAGAATAACTAACAAAGAGGGGGTGAATTGATTTTTGAAACTTTTTCGACGATTAGTTTCAAAACTATTTAATACACAAGATATGAATTTAAAGTGTGATTAGAGAAGTGAATATGCAAATTCGATAACTTAATTCAAGTATTATCACTTAAGTAGAAATATCACAATGTAAATAACAATTTAAAGTAAAGTACAATAATGTAAAAATAACAAACAAATTTAATGGGGTTCGATACACAATTTGTTATACTTCTCCATTACCAAACTCTCCGTCACGAGTAAGGTCAAATGTATTATAATGGTAACTTACAAACAAGGAGTACCGATCCTTAAGTGATTTAAAACAAGGAACACTAATCCTTAGAGCACATATCCTTAAGTGACTTTCAACAATGAGCACTTATTTTTAATAACAATCGAGTTTTTACAAGACTCTCAAAACCACTAAAGTATAAGTGATGGTTTTACAATTGAAAGAACTCTTAACAAATGATATAATCAAGTCATGAGTTTAAAGGGTTAAGATAACACTTCAATGGATAGCAAATAGTAAAGTTCAAGTGTTGATGTTATAAACTTTGATGAATGATAGATAATGAAATAGTTTGTATGTTTGTATCAAAGTTTTCAACATATGATCTTTCTTAACAAATAATACAAGTTAAGTATGAAGAGAGATCTACACTTCAATATAAGTGTTAGCAAAGAAAACTTCTATCATGGATGAAGAATAGATGAGATTGTGAAAAGTCATTTTCAAAATAGAGTACTTGATAAATTAATGAAGAGAGATCTACACTTCAATATAAGTGTTGGCAAGGAAAAACTTTTATCAAGAATTGAAAGATAGATGAGATTGTGAAAAATTCTTTGCAAAATAGAGTTCTTCATAAATTAGATGAAATATGTTTGATTGATCATGAAACTCTTTTGTAATTAATAAATGAAGTAGAATATAGAATCAAGTAAATTCAATGATTTTCAATAAATAAGTTCTCTAAAAATCTCTTGTAGGTTGGTGGAATTGAATGCAAGGAGAGATTAATATTTATAGGGTAAAGAAGACACAATCAATCACTTTCGGTTGAGTAAGTTCGGTTGACCGAAAGTATGATATAGCCGTTGCAAAGATCAAACCGTTAGAATTTCGGCTGACACTTCGGTCGAGCGAATCGGTCGACCGGTGTGGGAACCAGTAAGTGCTGCAAATACAATGAGAAGATGCAAAATACGGTAAGCATCATCTTTCTGTCGACCGAAGTATTTTTATTTGAAAATTAATTTTTACATCAAAATGTTCATTTTTCAAAACTTATTTTCATATCAAAAAAGTCTTTATGCAAGTGGTGAATTTATGAGAAATAGTTTGAGCTTTATGCATTTGCTAAAATTGATGAGTTATACATTTACATATAAATTGAAGTTTCGATAGATTTCTAAACTGTAATCTTCAAAGTTCTTGTTCTTGTTCTCTTTTGATTGTTTGTTCTTCAACGGATGACGATTTGAGCCTTTGAATACTTAAAAAGATATATTCATGAAAAACTCAAGAAACCAAAAATTTGTTAGAAATATAGGTGTACTGTTTGTTATAATAAAACACAAGTGAAGTTATATTAAATCATAAGTCAACACATCTAACTTTCTTTAATTATGAATTAAAGTGTAGATACATAATCGACACTCGTCCAATTTGTTACTTTGATAAATTTCAAATGAATGAAAATGAACTGTATTTATGGAACTGGACGTGTGATGGAGAAGGTATTTCTGTAAGTTTTTAACATCGGTTATATCATATACGGTATGTATTGTGATTTACAAAACATATTAAACATTGACCCCTCTGAATACGAGATGAATTTAGGATTTCTATTTCTCAACCATTCATATATTTTGGTTTCATTAGTAAAGATTACTTCTAAAGTGCAAGTACGCTGACTAGTTTAACTAAACAAAGACCATAGTTCTCTTCTTTGTGCAAATTTAGTGAAGAATAATATCTCTTATAGTGAACAAACACGAAGCATCTGATGAAGTGGATTTTAATGTGTATGATCATTGAAATACATCGGTGTTTCTGCTGGGAAGATGACATAGTTATTCTAAATACAGTTGCTATATACTATGATCTCACTGTTTTGCACAGAATACATGTGTTGTTCAAGATAATGAGGAAATTTCATTTACAAACTATGATCTAATTGATTTATCCATCCAGAGATATTAATAGAGTGGAAACTCACAAGCTGGCCCATTATACAATCTTTTCATTATTCGTGAGTGATTCATTGCAGGTTGACCAATTGTCCAATAGGATCTCCAGGAAGCTGTGCATTTGATTGCATTGAAACACAACTTTGAATTCAAAGTAAAGAATTTAAATAAGACAATCTACACAATTTTCTATGTAGACGATAATTGCAATTGGCGTTTGCGAGTAATGAAGTTTGACACAATGGATTTATTTGTAATTTGCAAGTATGTACAAGCACGTACTTGTCAACTGGGTATTCATTACATTGGTCACAGACAAGAACGATTATGGTTTATTGATAGACATATAATACGCAAGTTTCAAGACTTGAAGATAATTTATAAATTTGCAGACATCATTAAAGACGTCTGTAGAAAGTTTGGGATGTCATGACCTACAGAAGGTCTGGAAAGCTAAAGAATAGACGTTGAATGATTTGATGGTTCATCCAATAAGAGTTATGCTAAATAGGCTAGATGTTGCCCTAATATAAGAGAACTAATCATGTCTCAAAATTGTTTTTTGAGACTGACGACGATAACCGCATTAATTATTTCTTTATAGCTCTTGGAAAATGCATTTGAGGATTTCTTAAATTAATGCAACTCCAATTCTAGGCGATGCTACAACCCTGAAAGCTAGATAAGAATGCATGGTGATTATTACAACAATGTTAAGATGGAAAATTTCAAATTTATCCTCTTTCATTCGACATGGTCAATAGCGAGAATGATTGAGTGATGCATTTGTTCTTTACAAAATTGAGGGATGTAATTGGGGATGTGAGAGTCTTTCCTTTGTAATTGATTGTGGGAAAGTTATAATAAACAGTATCGCTAAAGTTTTTCTTGATGCATATCGTGGTTACTACAGGCACCGCATACAAGGCAACCTGAAGATCAAGTGTCGGGCTAATGTGACCATGTTGTTGTTTAGGAGAGCTATAGATGCATACATTTTTTAAGAATTTAATTAGTACATGGGCAAAATAGATAGTAAATCACATGTTGCATGCAAGTATTTAACAAAGAAACTAGGGATTGAGCATTGGCTTCGATTACATTTTACAGGGATATGATATAATCTGATGACAACAAATAATGTGGAATAGCTCAATTCATTGTTCAAAAGGATTGGGAGTTACCAGTTTATTGTAATGAAAGAGCACACTCATAGCAAGTTCCAGGAATGTTTTCACAATAGATGTACGGATTCACAAATGTACACAAGCACGCTAACCTCGACAATGGAAGACAAAATCTTCAAGAATCTCGAGATGAGAAAAGATATATGTGGAACCACTATATCAGTTTCGTTGCTACGTAGAAGTGTACCCAACGATGGATATATTGTGGATTTGAATGATAACACCCGTATGTGTAGAAAGTCTCAATTGGAGAATTTTTCATATGCGTCATGTAGTCGCAGTGGTTATGTATAGTGACTTTCTATCACACACCTTATGCTCTCATTATTACACAACTGATTTTTGGAAAATAATGTATACCGAAACTATATTTCACATACAAAAGAAAAATCGAACGAGCGGTCTTCGGCAAAATATCACACTTAATAATTTGTTGTCCCTCGAAGTCATCGCGTACTCCTAGATGTAGACATATGACTATAATATTATCTATCGGAGAGTTCTTCGACCATGTAAGTGCGATAGTGTGGCGGTAAACTCGTTAGTCCAATTGTCCGATCAATCTATTATATATCAAAGAATATCTCCAAGAGACTCTTTAAGTACAAAATGCTCTTTATGTTAAATAGTTAAATGTATCGTCAAGAGACTTGATTTTAAAAAAAAACAAACATATTCTACAATTTAGAAAACATCTATAAATTTAGAGAGTAAAAAAGTTTAAATTCTCCAACAAGTTTTTTATATTTAACACTAATTTACTACACTAAAAAAATATATATTATTTTTCATTATCTTTCATTTTCAATAGCTTTCTTCCAGATATTATATTATTTTTCATTGAAAATTGAAATATTTTAATGCATTTATTTATAAAGAGTGAATTTGGCTCCCACTCTCTAATTTAAAATTTTAATTTAAAGAATAATTTGAAACATAATTTTAAGAGTTAACTCTTTAAAATAGAGAAAATCTTATGTTTAAAGAGTTTCTTTGAAATGCTATAATGCTTAAAAGTAAGTTTTAAACGACTCTTTATTTTAACTTTTTAAAATAGAAAATGATTTTGACTCTCTAAATTTAGATAGCCAAATTTACACCTCTATTCTTAATGTACAATAATTATATTTAATAAATCATAGATTTTAATACTCTGATTCTTAAATTATTCGAAACATATTTAAGTTGATTGGCCATTGACTTATAAAAATGTGTTAAATAAATTATGAGAATAAATCAATAGATATTTTTTGAGAAAAGAAAAATGAAGAGTCAAATATAGAATATTGTTGGAGTGAATAAAATTTTTGTCTCTCTAAACTTATAGACGCTCTCTATAATGTATAAGATGTTATTTATAAATAAATAATCTAAGAGTATATATAAGTTTTTTTAAACATAATATGCTCTCTAATTAAGTGTTAAAAAAATTTACTCTTTAAATATATGAATGTTCTCTAAATTGTAGAATATGGTATTTAAAATTAGAGTCTCTTGAAGACGTTCATATCTTTCTAAAATAAAGAATATTTGTATTTAGAGAGTCACTTTGAGATACCTTACGAGCATCTCTAAAAGATTCTATTACTAGTTTTCCTCCAAATTATTATATTATCTTCATTTATTGAAATTGATATATTTTGAATGTATTGAATTATAAAGAATGTGTTTTAACTATTCAAATTTGTGTGACTAAATTCGTCCTCTAAATTAAAATGTTAATTTAAAAAATCTTTTGAAACATAATTTTAAGGATTGACTCTTTAAAATAGAGAGTATCTTATGTCATCTCCAACTCTACACCAAAATTTGCGGCAAGTTTTGCACAATTTTACATCAAATTTTGCACCAAACTAAAAATCATCTACAACCATTATACCAAAACTTACACAAATGAACAGTGCTAATCATTTTCTTCATTTTTTCTATTCTTAACAATTTATTTATTTTACAACTACATAAATTACTAAATAAATAATTATGCTAAATTAACGAAAATATTAATTTCATTAACTATTACTTTTTTACATTATTAATTATAAATTCACATAATAATAATAATAATAATAATAATAATAATAATAATAATTTATTGTATTAAAAAATATATAACACAGATGATACAAATACCCTTAAATCAATTTATTTAGAAAATGAAAATAAAGGGTAAAATTGATTTTATACCATGCGAAATGAATAGTGTTGCACTTATTGGTACAATTTTGTGTTTTTGTGTCTTCTTTGGAGATGTCCTTGTGTTTAAAGAGAAATGCTTTAAAATTAGAGTCGCTAGTAAATGCATAATTTAACCACGCCAATACGAAATTTCCCCATAATTTACAAGGAAACTTCTAATTTGACATTCATTTTGAACATTTTCGTTGATTTTTCACTGAGTGTAAAAAATTTAACCATTTGAACAAGTATCCTACATAATAAAAAGAGTGAGTTTGGGGGCACTATTCATAAGCTGCGAAGCCAAACCGAGTCGAGCCAATTTGGCTCAGCTTGGCTATTTTTCTTTTTACGTTGATTCAATATTTTAAGTTACAGATATTCGTTTTATATTCGTTTTACGCGATTTAAAATTTGTTGGAAATGTTGAAGTGCGATCATGATAAATATATAATCGATAAATTTTAAATATCAAAATTTTGAAATAATAAAAAGAGTGAGTTGGGGGCACTATTCATAAGCCGTGGAGCAGGCCGAACCGCGATGGCTCGGCTCGGCTAGCTTCGATTTTTTTCTTTACAACCGAGCCAAATGGCTCGGTTCGACTATTTTTTTTAAAACGTTTGGTTTATTATTTTAAGTTATAAATATTCGTTTTACGCAATTTAAAATTTGTTGGAAATATTGAAGTGCGGCCATGATAAATATATGATCGATAAATTTTAAATATCAAAATTTGAAGTGCGGTCATGATAAATATATGATTGATAAATTTTAAATATCAAAATAATTTTACATTAATTGTGAAACGTAAAGTCGTGATTGTTTATGTTTCTTTTCAGTCTCAACCTCATTCCAATGTCATTTTTTTCGAACTTTATTTTCCTATATTTTGATTCGATATTTCACGATATGAATATCCATTTGGATCGATTTCAAATTTTTAAATAAAATAAAATGTGATAATAATAAATATATTTTCGATTAAGTTAAAATATAAAAACGGCTTTATGGCTCGGCTCGGCTAA